GTTAATATACTCTGTTTGCAGAACCAGTGTCTGTATCTCTTAAGAAAACTGCTCCTGAGATCATTACAAATCAGTTTCCTCAAAGCATAATAACAGAACCAAAAGACGCTACAGAATGTGTCTGCAGACAGGAGACCCAACTCCATCAGGTAAATCTTATACATTTTTAGAAGAGATATGCAAATGTTTATCCATTGTGAGCTTCAGTTTCTAACCCTTCCCCAAAGGGAAGGATGTCTGAACGAACCAAGGGAAGGCTAACTAGCTGATTCATGGGTAAATGTATATTTTACTAATTCCTGTTATGGAATCTTCAAATATGGCCAGACCATTCTAGTCTCCAAAACATGTGACTATGGATTAACGATAACAGTATTAGGCGAGAGGATTGCCTGAGCCCATAGGTTTGAGACCAGTCTGGGCTGCTTGGTGAGATTTTGTCTCCACAATAAATAAAAAGATATTAGTTGGGTGTGGTGGCACACACCTGTGGTAGCAGGTACTTGGAAGGCTGAGGCAGAAGGAAAGAAAGAAGGGAAAGACAGACAGAAAGAGAAAGAAAGACGAGAGAGAGAGAGAGAGAGAGAGAGAGAGAGAGAGAGAGAGAGAGAGAGAGAGAGAGAGAGAGAGAGAGAAAATATGTAGGCTGGGTATGGTAATGCACATCTGTAATCCCAGCACTTTGGGAGGTAGAGGTGAGAGGACTGACTGCCTGAGCCCAGGGGTTTGAGACCAGCCTGGACAACTTGGTGAGACCTCGTCTCTAAAATTAGCCGAGCATAGTGGCGCACGCTTGTGGTTCCAGCTACTTGGAAAGCTGAGGTGGAAGGATCGCCTGAACCCAGTAGGTCAAGGTTGTGGTGGCTGTGAGCGTGTCACTGTACTCCAGGCATGTCACTGTACTCCAGCCTGGTGACAGTGAGACTCTAACTTAAAAAAAAGAAAAGAAAAAAGAAAATCTGAGAGAAGGTGTCTGTTCAGAACTCTGCAAACTACTCAACTGATGTTTTCAGGACCAAAACAGCATTTGGAAATGCTATGAATCTGGCATGAATACACCAGCATGCACAGGTTACAGGTAAGAGAACTGCTAGTTATGCTGGACACAGCTAGAACTACTAGTTATACATGTTCATGCCTGTAATCCCAGAATTTCAAAAGGCTGAGGCAGGTTGATTACTTGAGCCCAGGAGTTCCAGACCAACCTGAAAAAAAATCAAGAAATTAGCTGGGTGTGGTGGCGCACACCTGTAGTCCCAGTTATTCAGGAGGCTGAGGTGGAAGGACTACCTAAGACCATGAAGTCAAGGCCATGGTAAGCAGTGAAAAAAGCAAAGTGTACTCCACTTTGAGACAGAGTGAGACCCTCAATACACATACACAAAAAGAACTACTAGTTAGTTTTAGTTTGACATTTAAAAATTCTCCTACAAAAAGAAGAAAAATAAAATTCCCCTACAGAAAGCAGAGTTATGGAATGAATCTGCAAATAGCCAGAATAACTACTAAAAAGTAGTACTTTGGATGAACTCATCTGAATTAAGTATCCAGTGCATGACTGTTTAGTCCCTGATACTGTATTTGTTTTCATATGAAACAAATATTACAACTTTCAGGTATTTTGTTAATCCTGGGACTGAATTTTTTAAATTGGATTATGCCCAAGATAAAAAAAATGGATCCAAGCTGGGTGTGGTGGCTCACGCCTATAATCCCAGCACTTTGGGAGGCGAGGCGACAGGATCATTTGAGCCTAGGAGTTTGAGACCAGCCTGTGAACATAGCAAGACCTTGTCTCTACAAATAAAATAAAATAAAGTAATAGTAATAATCAATAAATGACCCAGGTGAAGTGGCATGTGCCTGTAGTCCCAGTTACTTGGGAGGCTCAGACGGAAGGCTCACCTGAGCCCAGGAGATCGAGGCTGCAGTGAGCGGTAATTGTGCCACTGCATTCCAGCCTGGGCAACAGAGTAGGACCCTGACTCAAAAAAAAAAAAAAAAAAAAAAAAAAAAAATCCAAATACAAAGCAAAAGTGATAGAAATCTCATCTTCTAGATTCCATGCTTTAAGAAGATAATAAAATAAATTCCTTTACCAAAAGGGGGGGAGGCCTACTCAAACATTTTTGCTGCTGTTTTTCTTTCTTTTTTTTTTGAGTTGGAGTCTTACTCTGTCACCCAAGATGGAGTGCAGTGACACTCACAGCCACCCCAGTCTCGACCCACTGGGCTCAGGTGATCCCTCCGCTTCAGTCTTCCAATAGCTGGAACTACAGGTGCACGCCACCACTCCCAGCTAATTTTTTTATTTACTGTAGAAACAAGGTCTCACCAGTTTGCCCAGACTGGTCTGGATCCCGTGGGCTCAGGCAATCCTCACCTCAGCCTCCCAAAGTGCTGGGATTACAGACGTGAGCCACTGCGCCCGGCCTGCTGTTGTTTTAAAACTAACCAGTGAGTGAATGGGGTGACAAAGTCGAAAGAGAACCTTCTGCAACAGACCAGCACTCGTCAGGGTACAGTGTCCATAATGAACTCTACTGTCTATCCAGGCTTCCAGTTTCAACATTGCTTGATTCAATGCCACATAAGAACATTCATTCTGAGGTGTTCTTTGGCTCTTACCCATCGAATTAGAGCAGCAGATAATTATTATATTTTCTAGACTTAAGGAGGTATCACCGATTGAGGCAGCATCAATTCTCTCAAAGGAAAACTTTAGTTCAGCACTTTTTTTTTTGAGTTGGAGTCTCACTCTGTTGGCCAGGTTGGTGAGTGCAGTGGCACGCTCAGAGTCAGCCCATCCTCGACCTGCTGGGCTCTGGCAATCCTTCCGTCTCAGCCTTCCAAGTAGGTGGAACTATAGGCACACGCTACCACACACGGCTTATTTTTTGATTATTGTAGAGATGAGGTCTCACCAAGTTGCCCAGACTGTTCTCCAACCCCCCTGAGCTCTGGCAGTCCTCCCGCCTCAGCCTCCCAAAGTGCTGGGATTATAGGCTTGTGCCACTGCGCCCGGGTCTTATCAGCATTTTGAAATGAATAGGGTTATGGGCAAGAACCAGCTCTTGTGGTGCACCTTAATGATTCCATGATAACAAGAAAACCTTACATCGCTTCCCAATAATACGTTTGTTCCCCAGAAGCTACTGAGTTTTCTCACCATTGTTGAAAATAAATGGAAACATTACAAGGTCAATGTTCAACACCACAGTCTCCTAACAAAGACTTTTTAGTTAAATGAGCAGCCTACTAGAATCCCTTCAATACTAATTCTACTACCACATAATCACATCTTTATTGCCTTTATCTTGCAATACCTAATCTGCAAATTCTTTCACAGAAAAGTAACTGCAAAAAACAGGGACATGTAATTAGGAATCAAGCTGTATTCACGTAAAAAAAATATCAAGTAGTTTCTTAAACTGAGTCCTAGAATTCTAATTATTGCCAATATCTGAGAGAGAAAAAAAAAAAATCAGTGCCTTTTTCTTTAGGCACCTGTTTAAAGGGGAGGAGGAGTGCGGATGAAAGAACTTTCTGAGTAATTCTGGCTAAAAAGTAAATATAGTTAAGAAAAATTCATGGTTAGGTCCTATATTTCCCAGACTACCAGGCAACTTTAAAGAACTCTAGAATCCCCCTACCCCAATAACAGAATATCCAAAAGAATTTCACCTAAGAATGTTACCAACCAATGTTGCTCAGATCTTCCACATAATCAAACTTTAATTTCTCCCTAGATTACATTTAATCCTCTCAATAAACAAAACAAGAAATCTATTTTGGCCAACCCACAATTATCCAAGATTGGAGCTATTCAACTTAAAAATATTCTTGTTGATTCATCCCAGATGTTGAGCTCTTTGGTAGAGTACACAAAATGTGAAACCAAAATTCAAGTACTGTATCTGGGACGCTGAAAACAGCAAAAAGACTACTTCTAATTTAAGTTGGGTTGAGGAAAAGTTCATTATTTGGAATGCATTTATACATGTTGCATCCTTATCGCTGATACAGTTATTGCCAAGTTCCTTAACTGTTCCAGTTTTGTCTATGGAAACTTTGTCATACTTTCAGTGAGAATATGAAACCTAGGTTTGGATTGCTTATTCTAGTGAAATAATTTGTATCATCTTCTAGTTAGTTCAGGTGGTAAGAAGAGGGAAGATCATGGAAGCAGTTATTTTTTAACTCAAAGGGATCTCCCAATGTTTCAAAATCAATGTGTACCTTGATTTGACACGACTCCCCTCTGCTTTTGAAGAAGGGAGTTAGTTAATTTTTGGCATCTTACCACCAACGTTTTCATTCATTATATAAAACGTTTTACCAACGAATCTTTCAGGGGCACTATTCTCTATGGAATATAAATATAAATTTTCACTTCGTTTATACGAGATCTACCAGCAGTAGGTCCTCCTGAAAACCAACTGGTACTGTTTCCCTGGGTCTAAAGTCTCGGATCCCCAAGTCCCTACAGCTAAAAGTACTTTCCAGCCCACAATCTGCTCAACAGCTCTGCTCTTGCAAACAAAAGCTCGTGGTGGTTGGAGGCCCCGCGCGAAAACCTTAAGGTGCTCTAGGACCTGGACCAGCCGCCACCCCACACAAGCCTATCTCGAGAGCAGCTCCAGGCTCAGGGAGGTGAGGACAGGCAGGCGGTCGGGAGGGAGCCCTGACCTGGCTAGAACAAGCAAGTCGGAGCCTTACAAACTGGCTAGACTCCCGAGGGGTGCACAGACCCGGGGGGGAGGGGGAGAGCCCTTCAAGGGCAGGGGAGGCTGGGCCCGACAGGCTCAAGTCCACGGACACAAGGCGCCCCTCGGGCACGCCCTGGCAGCCGGGTCGATGCCACAGGCAGGTACCGTCCCAGGTGAGAGAGGTCTGTCCTCCCAGCCCTCAGGCGCCCACGAGACCGCCAGCTCCGACGGCGGGAAGCGGCTGGGGGACGCACACACGCCGCCACCCCCACCGCGCACCCCGCTGCTCACCGGTGCTGCAGCCCCACGAGTCCCAGGGTGATCACATGCGGCACATCGAGCTGCGTGGGCCACTCTCCCGAGGCGATGCATCCGAACACGCCACATTCCTCTCGGATCCCCAACTCCTCCAGCTCCATGTCGCCGCCGAAAGCACGTGGAGGGACCCGCCGCCGCGGCCGAGGTCCAAGCACCAACCAGCTGCCAGCTCGGCCCGGACGCCCGAGAAGCTCGCGACAGCCGCTTCCTCCCCGGCGGCCGGACCCTAGCTACTGCGGCG